TCTCAACTTTTTTTTAAGGTTTATAGGAATATAAAAAATAGAGACCTATGTCAGTGGGAGACTTACCATTTCATATCTTTGGACTATATGGGAATTATTTCTAGGTCTTTTAATGTATTAATTGAAATGGGTTTTATTTTATTCCTCACCTGAGGATATGTTTATTGATTTTAGAGAAACATTGATTGGTTGCCTGTTGTACGTGCTCTGACAGGATTGAACCTGCTACCTAGGTATGTGCCCTCACTAGGAATTAACACCACAACCTTTCGGTGTAAGGGAGGACGCTCCAACCAATTGAGACACCTGGCTAGGGTGAGTTTTATTATTTTATTTAAACTATTTATTGAAAAGACATTTCTCCCATTTAATTGGTACCACTATAGAAAACAAACCGTGTTGATCTACTTCTGAAGTCTCTATTTCATTCATTTGTGTGTCCTCACACCAGTACCACGTTGTCTTGAAGTCAGGTAATGTAGTTCCACAACTTTGTTCAGTGGCCTTTTAATATTTACCCTGGGAATACAGGCACACATGTCTTAGGCAAACGAGGATGTATGGTCACCTCACTTACAACTGACATAGGATTAATATCCAGAATAAGTAAAGTCTTAGAAGAAAAAAAATATTTTCATTAATCCTTAACCAAAGTAGTATTAATTACATATGTGGAAAGGAACATACCTACCAGGGTAGCTAAAATGTGTTAGTGAGGATTGTAAAAACAAATTCATACATTGCCAGGAAGAAATCACCCTGGAAAACTGTTCAGCAGTAGCTGATGCAGTTGTAGATACATATCCCCGTATCTCAGCAATTCTTCTAGGTATGTTAAAGTTACTGTGCTCTAGTGTGGTCTGAAGTCAGCCACCAGATGTGTTGGTTCTGGAGGGACTCCAGTGCAGACCAAGTCACCCACAGTTTGTGTGAGGCATGGGCCACTTGGTGGGATCTACAAAACAATCTGTGGTTCATTGCTGCTTGTGTTGGGCTTGGGGCCTCTTGAAGCTAACCACAGTTCCAGGCCAAGACTTGTCATTGCTTATGCCAGACTTGGGGATAGCTTGTTGTTTCAGTGCTGTTGAGATTGGTTGTCACTTGTGCTTGGCAAGAGGTACAGGACATGCAAGGCCAGCTGTGCTTGTCTGAGGTTGGTAGACCTTTGAGAGATTTTAGGAAAGTCCACAAGCATGAACCTAGGCAGGTTGCTTATGTGGATGGAAAGGTGGCTTGGACCAGGCGCGCAAGTAGGATAGGGCCTCAGGGAATTACCAGAGCGAGGTGTACAGTGTTAGCCAGGTTAATGGAGAGCAGAGATTTGGTGCCTTTCTGTGACTGCTGGTTGAATGGGGGAAGGGTTCAACAAAAGAACAGTGGTACCTGCCAGCATTTCCAACCCTCACGCTGTAGCTAGCCAACTCAGTGCTTTTCTGTATGTCCTTGGTGCCGATATAGGTGCTGCCCCCAGTGCTAGTGAGCAAGCAAGCCTGTTTTCAGGCCCCTCGATTGAGACTCTAGCAGCACTCTGTCTCACTTGGATACAATCGCCACAAGTTTTCACAGCCAGATGTTGTGGAGACTCCTCTTCCCAGCACTGATGCCCCAGGTTGGGGAGCCACATGTGGTGCTGGGAGCCCTCGCTCCTCAGGGATGACCTGATTCTTATTTGAGTTGGATTTTGGTTAATAAGGAAAATCATTGCAGTGATTTGATTTTTCCACTGTGCTTGTGTTATAAGGGTTCTAGAAAGCAATCAGTGGTCTATAGCAACTGAACAAATGCCCACTGAAGAAAAAGTCATATTCAAAAATAATAGGAAATGTCAGGGTGTAAAGTATATTCATTTTTGCCCCACTCTCTCCACAGTGTAGCATGGTTGGGAGAAAGCAGCCACCTATCTCCTAGTGACCTCTCTCAAATAATGGAGCAGAGCACTTACTTGTAGCATTCTAATGTGTCTAGGGCTGCCTGAAGACCTGGTCTCTGTTTCACTTAACTTGGCTCAGATCTCAGGTTTGGAAAAGCTGCAGAGAGACTATAGACCTGGAGATGCTTTAGCAAGAAATGGGGGTAGAGGAACAAGAGAATATCTAAGGTTCTGAGAAGTCAGAGGAAAATCTGGAAAAATAAAGACATTTAAAGACAGCCATTAACACCATTTTGTTCCACTCTGGTGATTACCTGAGACCCTGACTTACTTATGTGGCCTGAGCCTTTTTCCAGAGTAAAGTTCCCAAAACACCCAGTGGCCTGCAGGAGACCACACTAGAGCACCACCAACCAACTCTATAAATGACACACCTGAAGGGTGAACTCAGCCCCATTAAAGCTCCTGCTGCATAGGGTCAGCCCTTACACAACAGCTCATATGCTGTAGCCAGGGCCGGTCCTCATAGCCAGTGCACCTGAGGATCAACCCCACCCACTGACATGCCAACAGCAAACAAGGGACACCTCACCTGGCTTAGGTGATAGGTAGATTGTGCCTCACAGGACACCTTCTACATAAGGCCACTCTGCTGAGACTGGGAAAGGTAGCAGATCTACTTAATATATAGAATCAAACACAGAGTCAGCCAAAATAAAGACACGAACATGTCCCAAATGAAAGAACAGGACAAAACTCCAGGAAAAGGAACTAAATAAAAGCAGTGTGCCAAATACAGAGTTCAAAGTACGGGTTATAAGGATGCTCAGTGAACTTCAGGGAAGAATAGACAAACTCACCGAGAACCTCAACAAAGAGATAGAACCATGAAAAAGGACCTGTGGGAAATGAAGACTACAGCGGAGGATTAAATCAGCAATGCAGAAGACATGGTAGAAAACACCAAATCAGGACAGCAAAATAATTTTTTTAAGTGATGAGAATTTAAGGGACCTCTGGTACATCATCGAGCATACCAACATTTGTATCATAGTTACCAAAAGGAGAAGAAATGATGGAAAACATCCCTAACCTGGTGAAGGAAATAGACCATACAAGTCCAGGAAGCAAACAGTTCCAAGGAAAATGAACCCAAAGAGGTACACACCAAAACCCATCCTAATTGAAGTACCAAAGATGAAAGGCAAAGAGAGAATCTCAAAAGTAGTGAGGGGGAAAAAAAGCAATTACGTAAAAGGGAGCTCCCATAAGACACTCAGCTCAATTATATTTAAAGTTTTTGGGATCAAGAATTCTATACCTGTCAACATAGTCTTTCAAAGATGACCAGAAGTTAAGCGATTTCCAAGTAAGTAGAAGCTGAGTTCATTACAACTACATCTGCCCTGCAAGAAATGAAATCTTTCAAGGTGAAATGAAAGGTATTAGACAAACTCAAAGCTATAACATTTTTTCTTCTACAGGATTTCAAAGAAAAATAATTATAAGTCTATGTTAATGGGTACACAATATATAAAAATATAATTTGTAATGTCAACAGAGGTGAAACTATAAAACATTTTATATGCGATTGAGTATGGGTATTAATTTTAAATGGGTTGTTACAATGTTAGCATGTTATATGTAATCTCTCTATTAACCAGAAAGAAAATAACTGTCTTCACGCAACACTTAATAAGGAAATGTTCTGCGAAATGCACTAGGCGATTTCATCGAGCAATCGTATAGTGTACTTACACAAACCTAGATGCTATATACACAGGCAATGGAATAGAATAGAGAGCTCAGGAAGAAATCCTTGCATAGGTGGTCTAATAATATTTGATACAGGTGTTCAATGGGGAAAGGAAAGTTTTTCTTCAAGTGGTCCTAAGAAATTAGAATAACCATGTGCAAAGTTGAACTCTTACCTAACATAGTATAGAAAAGTTAACTTTAATGGATCAAAAGCCTAAACATAAGAGCTAAAACTCTTGGAAGAAAACATAGGGGAGAAGCTCCATAAAATTAGATTTCTTGGCTATCACAACAGAAGCACAAGCTACAAAAGAAAAAATAGAGAAATTGGACTTGAACAAAATTTTGTCCATTAAAGGATACTACCAACAGTGAGTGAAAGGGCAACCCAAAGAATGGAGAAAATATTTATAAAACACTTAATAAAAGATTGCTCTCCAGAATAAAGAACTCTTACAACTCAACACATAAAACAACCCAATTAGAAAATGAGCAACAAAGTTAAATAGACAATTCATCTAAAGATATACAAATGGCCAATACATACATGAGATGCTCACCATAACTAATCATTAGGAAAATGCAAATCAAAACCACAGTTAAGATAGTGCTCTACACCCATTGAGAAGATTATTATTAACAAAAAAGCAGAAAATAAATGTTTGGGAAAATGTAGAGAAATTCAAACCATGTGCATTGCTGGTGGGATGCAAAATATAGTGTAGTCACTGTGGGTCCTCAAAAAATTAAACATGGAATTTTCATATGATACAGCACTTCCACATCTGGGTATATATCCTTAATGGGTATATATCCTTAAAAGAACTGAAACAGGAGTCAGGATAGTGGTGGTGGTGGTACCTGGGGTCAAAAAGGTGGGTACATTTCACAATTTTGTAAAAGGCAATGAGCCCACCCCCAAAAAGTGAACCTTCTCTATATTTTACTTACCAAATAGTTTATACTTTGAAGTAAGGCTGGAAAATCTAAAAACACCACAGTAATTACTTTTGAGAAAAAAATCCTCAATGAGAAGACTAAAAATTGCATTTATTCTGCTTTTCCTCTCAGAAATAAAATAGTTCCAAATGCTTATTCTCCCAGGTGTTTTAAGACTGTACACCTAAATATGCCTACATTACTACTTTGCTGGTAGTAACTTTTGACAAAATAAAACATTCACTAGATATGAGTTAAATGTTCTTACAAACTTGTCATGGAATATCCGTAATGTTTGGTAGATTTCTCATGTTTGAAATACTGTTTTGATGTAAATATGTATGCTGTTCACATCAAATTAACAAAATTTGAGCTCATTTAGAGCCATCAATTCCAACAGAACTTTTGAATCCCTAAAAATAAAAGACACACAGATAGGTATAGTATTTAATCGAAATATATTTGTCTAATATCTACAAAGTGTGAACATTTGGTCTTAAGAAAGCAGACAAAAGGCACAAGTTAGTATTACTACAGAGAAGCATTCATGCTACTGGATTTTATAAATATTCTTCAGAGTGGTACAGTAAAAAATAAAATAATAAGCAGTAAGCAAAAATCAAATGTTATATTTTTCCTTCCTTTATATTCTAGTTGTGTCTTGACCTCGTTTGTAAAGGTTGAGGACTGAAATTCAACTGAAACCATGGAACACTTAATCACAGTGGTTTTCTTGCTGCAGAGTTTGGGTCAAATAATAGAGGTGAAAAAAAAAAAAAAAAAAAAAACCACAGGAAATTCTTTTCCCCAAAACTAAATACAAGATTGAGGTTGTGGTTGTGCATGTTTAATTATATGCATGCATATATTTAACTTCGAAAGCCCTTTTTTCATCATAAAAGTAGTGAAGTCTCCATATGACTTGTTTTCTACTGTAAAAGCAGCAGCTTCTAAAAAAATGTATGACTAGTGCTTTGAGCAGGAGAAACTGTCAGTTTCTGGGGCAAGTAGATGAGAGGCAAACTCCAAGGTGGGCCTGGCTCTAGGTTCTCCCAGAGGTGCTCCACCCTGAAAGGCTCTGGCATAAACCTGGAATAGCTTTCTGCCCACTCCCATTCAGCAGAAAATAGCCGTTTATCTTTCTGCAGTATGGACAGGTGAAATGCCGCGGGGTGAGAGGTGGGAATCATAATAATTTTGAAATGACAGGAACGAGCCATTTTCTACCAGATGGATATCAGTTGGGCCATGCCAATCCCCTCCCCCCCCCTTTTTTTTTTTGACAGGAGTTGACTATGTGAGAATACTTTTGTAAGTGCAAAACATTTTTGGCAGAGTGAAAAATAGAAAAGGCCAATCATTGATAAAAAGGAGCCCATAATTACCCACTTAACTCTTGGTAAGTGCAGTATTTACATGTGTAATAATCAGCAGACATGTATACAATGGCATGTGTGTGAACATATAGTATGCCAAGAGCTCACAACTGTACACACACATGCCCCAAATGGCTCTTGAATAAACTTAATCGTATAGCAGAGTTTGGAGTACATTTTTCACAGTATAGAATTTTTCAGGTACCATTTCTTGAATGATATCAAGCGATCTCAGTGAATACCAACAGAACCTTGATACTGTACCACTTTAATTCCTACAAAAACGGGGCTCTTCCTGAAGGCTCTGCACCTCCACCCGGTCAGTGTGCCTTCCACAGGGGATTGAAGTAGACCCAGCCATCACCCTATAAGAGAAGGGAGGAGACGTTACACAGAGACCTCTCAGCAGGCAAAGGGGAGGAACAAGAGTCCAGGCTCTGTAGGTTGGAAGCTTAGTACCATGCAAAGCACTGTTAGCATCTGTCGGGACCACCACCAGTATGTGCGTCCGCCTTGTTCCTGGCATCTCAGCTGTGCCAGGCTGGTGGTCTCACTACCCCTCCTCAGCTTTTAAAGCCCATATGATCTTCGCATGCTAGCATTTTAGGAGGAAATCCCGCAAAAATTAACAAAAGGGGGGCTTTGTTGGTTTATATCAAGGAAGATTAAGAGGGAGGAGCATTTTTAAACAGCAGGACAGGGTGGGGGTGGGTGCGTGTTAGATGAACAGACAAGAGAGAAGCGGAGACCTGCATGTGAGGAATTTGCCCAAACCAGTGATTTACAGCCTATCAGCCTGGAGGGAAATGTCCAACAAAAGCTCTCACCAGCAGGATAGTCACACATCAGCGCACACTAGAAATACCACCAATCCAACACCAGTGAGAAACGGCAAGAATCAAGATGGTGCACTCAGCCTGGTGCTAGGCTAGAAGGGCATATACTAAATGATAATGATTCTGGTTTGGGGGTGATTTTTATTCTTTACATATCCTCAAGCCTTCTGTTACAAACACGGGGGCTTTTATTAAACTCAGCAGGGAACAGTATGTTTTCTTTTGTCATTTTGTTTTTGTGTATCTTTCCACAGAAGCCAGACAAGCTAGTATCAGACCAGATTCACCTCACAGAAGGATCCTTAAAGGATTGTGTGATGGTTAATTATCTATGTCAACTTGGCAGGCCATGCGTGGCCAGATTACACAATTTCTGGGTGTCTGTGTTTTTGGATGAGATTAGCATTTGATTAGTGAGCTCAGCAAAGGAGATTGCCTTCCCCATTGTGGGTGAGCATCATCCAACCTGTTAACCTAAAAAGAAAATAAGTGGGAGAAGGAGGAATCTGCCTTGTTTTCTGCCTCCTTGAGTTGGGACATCTCATCTGCCCGGACAGGGATTTATACTATTGGCTCCCGGTCCTCAGCCTTCAGACTTGGACTAAATTACATCATCAGCTTCCATGGGGTCTCCAGCTTGCAAATAGCAGATCCTGGGGATTTTCAGCCTCCATAATCCATGAGCCAGTTCCTTGTAATAAATCTACATGCAGTTATGTCTCCTGTTGGTTCTGTTCTGTTTCTCTGGGGAACCGTGACTAACAATACAGATTCATCTCACCTGGGCAAGGTTTCCAGACAAGATTCCCACTCAGAGTCTCATAAAGGCAGAGTCTCTAACAGGCCTTCTGCCTGAGCCAGAATCCAACCTTGGAGTCTTGCCTCCACAGCCACAGCCCCCGCCTCTGGGGGGACAGGGGCTACTTTCTGCTCCTGACCTGGAGTCTACCTCACGGTTACTAACTGACCCAAGGCCTTCTACCTACACAGTAATCCTTCCTTGTTGCAGGTCAGGCCTACCAGCACCTGAGCCAAAGAAAGCCCAGACAGGTTTCAATTGGTTCTCAGTGTTTACATTTTTAAAAATTCCTTCATACCATGTGAAAACTTGAAGAATTGGACAGTTTGTGATCACCTGGAGGTAAGCGGCATCAACCCTCTTTAGATACAGACTCACGTCTGCCCCAGTCCTCCCAGCCTGTTTCTCGTGGATGCTGCCGGCTCCTGAGGACCTGCCTTAAAGTGGCCTCTGACTCCCGTTATTCCCACTTCTGTTCGAATGCTTCCCAGTTGCTCCACAAACCATTTCAAGAGCATAAGAGCCTCAACTGAGCACAGAGTGCCTTGCCCATTGCCCAGGGGTGGGCACTCGTAAGGGTTTATTTCTGCCTTCGCATGTCACTTTCCTGGGTGGTGGCAGCAGCATTCGGGCACAGGACTCAGGCCGGCCTGTCGAGCATGTCTGTCCCATTTGGCCCACAGGAGGCAGAGCTCTGAAAGCAGTTCTGTCATGAAGGTCCCAGCTCACCCGGTGTGGAGCGGGCAGCAGGGCACTTCACTGCAGCTAATGATAAAGTAGCAGGGGCCTGTTTCTCTGTATGACTAGGACAGCATCCAGGTCTGCCATCCCATGCCTCTCCCTCCCTGGCAGGCCGATGGGCTTTTCTGATGGAGGCTGCCAGAGGGACAGGGTGCTCAGTTCTGCCCAGAGGACGCCCTCAACCCAAGCTGGAGCCAAGCTATCCCACATCTTCCCAGGACCTCTCCTGCCCCATCTTTCTGTCTATCCAAACCACTGCATTAGCCAAACAAATCCATCTGCCCCTCAGGACAAGCACCCAAACAGGTGGTGAAGTTACCTCCTGGATAAAGTACTTGGGCTGCCATGGGGTGCGGAGGTTCTCTCGCTTCCGCTCCTCCATCCGCTGCTTGTCCTCCAGGCGCCGCTTCTGCTCGGTGGCAGCATCGATGTCCCCCAGCCGCAGGTAGCGGGTCACCTCCCGCCAGAGGTTCCTGGGGGTGACAGAGGAGAGGAAGTGGTCAGGCAGGGACAGCAGGCTCAAGGAGGGTCATCATCCATAAGGAGGGGCCAGAGCAGGGAAGAGGACATCTGGGCAGGCCATCCGTAGAGGTAGCTCATTGCAGGTGCCTCAAAGACTGCTAGAAGCAAGGATTTGAAACCAGGGCTACCCGGCTATGCTGCTGCTACAACAATAAAGCAGACGCTTAGATGGTGTTCACCATATTAACTCATATTTACATATAAACTCATTTAATCACAGTAACACAATGACATAGATGCTGTATTAGCACCCCCATTTTAAAGGGAAGGAAAAATAGGTTCACGTAAGGTGAAATGACTTGCCCAAGGTCAACAAGCTGATACATGGACAATGGCTGGTTTCCCACGGGGAAACCTGGTATTAGGAGTTAGAAGGGGGAGGGAGGGAGGAGTTGATTTTGCTGCAGGCTCTGTCATCTCACCCACATCTACACAGGAAGTTAATTCTCTGCCCGACTCATTCATTGTAAAAGGCGGCCTAGATTGGCTCCTATCTTGTGCAGTTTTTCTCGGATTTCCCAGGACCACCCCTGATTCATACACTCTGTTCCAGGGGGTGAGGACAGGAACTGAGGGAGAGCAGGGCACCATCACCACTTCCTCACTTAGCCACATCAGGATGAGGCGGGGCTGGGTCATATCACTGTCTTTTTCATCACCCACACCCTTGACACATCTGGTGCCAGGGGAAGGGCTGGGCATAAGGACATCTGGTGGGGGGGGGGGTGCTCTCAAGAGCAGGACCTCCCATGAAAAGCCTCATAAGACAGTGGCCCCAAGTTTAGAAGGCAGAGACGCCCAAGGACTAGAGAGGGGTAGTAGGACAAGAACTGGCCCCAGACAAAGCTCTGGCCAGACACACGGGGACCCAACCAATAGCGCTACTAGGATGGGGACCGGTGGGGAGAAGTTGGGGGCTCATCTGGGGAAGTCTCTAAACTTCAAAAGAAAGGGCAGAAAGGTGAGGAGCCTTTAGGTGGGGAGGGTGGGAGCAGGTCAGTGAGAAAAGCAGAAAGTCCAGGAGAGCCTCATGGCAAAGGCCGGCGAGTGGCTGAAGCAGGATTGTGGCTGGCATCACAGGGCAAGTATCTTCACTCTTCCCTGATAGCTAGTGGTTCCCTCCCCTCCAAGGGGGCTCGCCGAGGCCAGCATCACTGTGAGGGCTGGGAGAACTGGTCTAACCACTGCCCCCGCCCAGCCATGCAGGAAAGGCCTGGTAGTCCTGCTGTGTAGTAGACTCAGGTGTTCTGAACAGCAAGGGAACCCCTGGACCAGATACTCTACCACCTTCCAGGGCTGTTTCCTAGGGAACACAAGGTGGGCTGGACTCGGTTTCCCTGCCGTTCAGCTCCATGTTTCAGTAAAGTCTGCATACGTAAGCCAAAAAGAGGTGGCACCCCTCTGTCCTACTCCCATACCAGACCCCACCCCCACTCCAGGCTGAATTCTGAGTTCCCCTGGCTAAGAGAGGCAGCAAAGGGACTTGATGAGGAGTAGCTAACCTACTCCATATCCCTAGAACAACAACACAAGGGCATCAGTTCTGTTCTCAACTGCCAAACCAGCAACAACAGACATGCCATGGTAGTAACTGCAAGGTTCCTGACCCTGGAAAGGCTCCGTCAGGGGCAAGGGGGGAGCTTTCTTCCCGCCCGCAGTCTGTCCCTTGTCCTGCGACTAGTGCCCGGTAGGCTGACCTGAAAAAGCCAACGGGTGGGAGTTCACGCCCTCCATTTGGACACAGAGAAGGTTACACGGCCCCCAAACAGAAGAACGGGAAAGCGCGTGCTAATCCTACAACAAAGCAGAGGTTCCAGAGGTACTGAGGCCCTGGTTGTATTAAACTTAGTTACAACGTATGGTTTGTACGCACTGTTGCATCCGCCTCAATTTTACAGAATTCACACTTCCCATTGGTTACAAACTTCTGGTAAAGGCAAACCTTTCACCGAATCATCTGTTATTTCATTTTAATCCTACCTCGTATTTCTAAAGAGCAGCATATGCTTTTAGATAAGGCAAATATTTTCTGTAAAGGGCCAGACAGTAAACATCTTGGCTTGGCAGGCCATATGGTCTCAGTCCCAACCACTTAACTGCCATTGTAGCAGGAAAGCAGCCATAACCAATAAACATGGCTATGTTCCCATAAAATTTTACAGATATTAGCTACAGGTTACATTTGGCCCCGGGCCACCATTTGCTGACCTGGTTGAAAAATCAAATGGGCATATTCCAAGCAGAGTCTGCCCGTGTGCCTGCATACACATCACTCGAAGGGGTCGCAGCATATTCATGCCGTAGCGCAGACATGCGAACTGGTCAGATACTCTTACTTAGCCGTTTCCTCCTGCTAAACAGGCAGGTGGTTGCTTTTTCTTTTGTTTGTTTAGGTTTTTAAATAGATATATTATACTAGAGGCCCGGTGCACGAAATTCATGCATGGGGGTGGGTAGGGAGGGTGTGTGTCCCTTAGCCCAGCCTGCACCCTCTCCAATCTTGGACCCCTTGAGGGATGTCCAACTGCCCATTTAGGCCCAATCCCAGTGGGCAGTCGGACATCCCTCTCACAATCCAGGACTGCTGGCTCCCAACCGCTCACCTGCCTGCCTGCCTGATTGCCCCTAACCGCTTCTGCCTGCCAGCCTGATCACCCCCTAACCACTCCTCTGCCAGCCTGATCACCCCCTATCCACTCCCCTGCCAGACTGATCAACACCTAACTGCTCCCTTGCTGGCCTGATTGCCCTAACTGCCCTCCCCTGCTGGCCTGGTCACCCCTAACTGCCCTCCCCTGCTGGCCTGATCGCCCCCAACTGCCCTCCCCTGCTGGCCATCTTGTGTCCACATGGGGGCGGCCATCTTGTGTGTTGGAGTGATGGTCAATTTGCATATTACCTCTTTATTATATAGGATATAAATATATATTTAATTTTATGCTTGAAACTTTTTCTGAATTTAAGAACTGTTCCTTAGAATCAATTCCCAGAAATACAACACTGATTAAACTGAATGAATGATCCATGCAGCCAAACCTCACACATTCCTACTATAAGCACAGGGCATCGAACGTCAATTTGATCACACCCTTGTCAGCACTGAATTTTTAAAAATTATGTTGCTAATCTGGTAAGAAAGAAAAAGTGCCTCGTAGCTTCACTGCACGGTTCTTTGATTACTAGCAACTCCCTGTATTTAACTTTGTAATGAAGCAACAGTCCAGCTGAGTTGACAAACTCTTTGGGGACAGGCATTAAAAGTCTGCGGCAGACTGTCTTCACCCTCCACCCCCTACTGAAAGATTCAAAGGCTCTACTGCTCAATGACACACAGTGGGAAATCCAAATATCTCAAGTCAGAGCAGGATTCCCGGCCCGTTCCGTTTGCTGAGCTTTCTAAGGCTTCCTCTCTGTCCCCTGGGTCGAGCGCAGAGGGAAACAGCTGGAGAGAAACAGCCTGATGCCCACCTGGACTCCATGGGCCCCTGCTTCTCCAGAGGTCTGATCTTCTTAGGGCACACTGGCAACGTGGTCGTGTCCACGACTTTGGTTTCTCCGTTGTTGTAGGTGAACTCTAAGGTGCCGTTCCATTCCCCGTGGACTTTACAAACAATGGTGTTGGTTGGGTTGTGCTTCACTTCTGCCGTGACCCTGAATGAAGGAAGGAATCAAAGGAACACGCTTTGCAACATTATAAAAAAACAGAGACTGGAAAAGGTGGACTCACATTGGGAGATTCTTTTTTTAATGGGGTGGCATGGAGAGGAATCGTTTTTTTAGTGTTTTGCTCAAAGTCTAGCTTATAAAATGGGATCTAATGTCCCTGAACACAAAACGAAGGCATTGATGGAAAAACTGGTGAGAGATGAATCAAGTCTACAGATCAGTTAATAGGCTAATCTAATGAAAGCTGAGCAACACTATCCTTGTGCTTGGCCTTGCATGGATACCTTCTCCTGCTCACACCAACCTTCCGCGGGCTCTAAAAGTACTGTCTGCAGGTTTGTGACCTCTCGCTTCACCTGCCTGGCCCGAGGGGGCTCCGGGTTCCAGCTCTGGGTGAAAGCGGATCCCAGCTCCCTCTCTGCCTGAGAACTTGCTGCACAGGCAGAGGAACACGGGAGAAATGGGGAGTCCTGCTCCAGGCAGCCAAGCGTAGGAGGCCAGCTCCTCTCTTCCTAACAGCCCAACTCAGGTTGAATTTGAGATTTCGAACCCAGGCTTGGAAGCTCTCTGCCTGAGCCTGAACATGGCCAAGGTTCCCAGGTGGCGAGCAAAGGCTCTCAGGCCGCATCAGGAGACGTCCAGGCCACGCACAGGGGAAAGGCATTAGGGGTGTGCTGGTAAAGGTTTAACAATGGCTGTCCAGGAGGGAAAAAAACGGATCTGTAGCGTTTGCCAATTTCCATGGTGCCCCACCACCGCTGATTTCAAGCTGCCAACTTGACAGGAGGTGGAGCTGGGGAGCAGAGCATGTGGTCACCCTGCGAGCCCCTGGGTCTGGCTCCAAAACGGCCACTGAGGGCGCCCACTTCCCCCGCAACAGACACTGTGACATCATACAGAACACTTTCCCCAAAAAAGGGCAGGGACGGGAGCCTGTTTGTATACGGATCTGCTCTGAGGGAGGGATTTTTATAACTGGAGCAATAAAAACAACGCTATGCTTCTGCAAACAGCAGACCTCGCCTTCCATTTCTTAGGCTTGGGCTTCCCCAGCTCCTAAAGCAAAGATCTCACAGAGGATACGGGGTTCGGGAGACTTAAAGAAGCCAATTTAACATGAATGGGGTGCTCCCGGGCAGAGTCTGGGTTCACAGATCAAATTGCTTCAGATCAGAGAAACAGGCTGCGGCATCAGGAGGGTGCGTTTACTGTAACAAACGGAAGTGTCTTTTTTCTCTGGTGTGTGTTTGCTAATACATTCCCAAATGATTTCACCGTTAATTTTACATGAGAAGGGTTTAAAAAAAAACAAAAAAACAAAAACAAAAAAACAACCTGCCATGGGAAGGGGAAACAAAGCAGCACCTCTTTTGAAAAAAGATGTTAACTTTATCTTGACTGTCAATGCATCCCATGGCGGGAACCCAATTTCTGGTGGAGAAATGGACCCCAGGGCATCGTGATAAGACGGAGACGGAGCCTCCCCGCGCTGCCTACCTGTGGACTTTCCCTCCATAGAAAGGCTTCGTGTGGAATATCACGGTTGCCGAGTACCCGGTCTTGGCACAGTTGATGCTGACTTTTCCTCCGAGCTCCACCCAGGGGATGGTGAGGATGGAGCGGGCGTAGGCACTAGGCAGGGTGAACACGTACTCCTCCCCGTGCTCCAGGAGCCGCAGCACACCTCCAGGGAGAGAGGAGGAGACGGTCAGGCACACAGACGCGAGAGGGGCAGCTGGGGATCCGGAGGCACGGGAGAGACCGAGCAGCTGCCTGCCAAGGGCACTGGTCGCCCCCCTCTGCCAAGGCTGGCTGCTCATTCGCCGGCATTTATGTCTTGTGCGCCCCACTGTGGGCCAGGCACCGAGAATACAACAGTGAATAAGGCAGACCCCTGTCTGTCCTCAAGGACGGACCAGAAAGGTGGGCACTGACCAGTCACCAAGCAAACCCCAAACTGTAACTGTGATGAAGGTGGGAGGGAGAGGTGCCCGGGCCACGGAGGCCTCCCCTGGGAAGTGACCTGGAAGGGAGGTGTCCCCGAGGGAAGGACAGGTGAGCTGGGTAGGAGCTGAGTAGGCGAAGAGGGGGGAGGATTCCAGGCAGCAGGAAGAGCCCGTGCCAAGGCCAGGCGGTGGGAAGGAGCGCGGTGAGCGTGAAGGGGCTGAGAAAAGGGCCTGTGAGCACAAAGGGAGATGGTGTGTACAGCGTGGAGGCTGGCCAGGCCAGGAGGGGCCAGACCTTATGTCTGAAACTTCAAAAAAGCATGTTAAAGAGTTCTGCCATTATCCTGAGAGCAAGATCTTAACTTCTCTGCACCCCAGGGAAGCGGTCCCTGTGCCTCCCTGGGCTGTGGTTAAGGATGGGAAGGCGATTCTAAACCTCAGTTCCAAGCACACAGCCTGACACACCACCGGGATCCTGCGGGGTTTACATCCTAAGCCCGCCTTCCTCTCTAAAGCAGCTCTCAATGGGCGAATTCTTAACAGTGGGATTCCCATTTGGGAATAAAGAGGGGGATGCATGCGGGAGGGGGGGGGTGCGGGAGCGGTGGGAGGCACCCTCCTGGCGCTCATCTTTAGAAAAACCTCTCCCAAACCAAGTGGCACTTCCCTCAAGTCCCCTGACACCAGTGAGCCCCTGGGCCAAGCTGCTCGCAAGGCATTAGTGAGACCACATTCCTTAGGCTCTGGGCTGAAATCCATGACTGTGCGCTCACTTATTAAATAACGTGCAAGGATGCCTGCTCAACGCGAACTCATACCTTTAGGGCTGCATTAAAAAGAATACCTGCCCCTAGCAGGGATAAAAGACCGTATTAACACCAGGCGTACAGATGGGATCCCAAGGAAAGCGCCTCTTTCATTAGCCTGTGAGCCGGGAGAAACCGAAAAATGCCAAAGCATCAATCTGCCCCCGTGGAGGTGAGTCTTAAATCCCACAAACGGATTTATCAACCAACACAAGGCCAGGCATTAAAACTTTAAATAATTTCATTCCCGATCTCAACCCGAGGAACCCAAATATTCTGATAGAACATTTTTCTGGAAAGCACAGAGTCACAGAGGGGAGGGGATTCTGGGGACCTGGGATGCAGCAGCGGCAGCGGCCACACTCAGCACCGGGCCAAGGTGCCACTGCGCTTGCCGGGACTGATTGCCTTTCCCACAGACTCAAGAGGTTGTGCCATTTACTCAGCGCTTGTCCTGGTGTGTTAGGGGCAGGTGGGTTGCAGGAGCAGCTGAATGGGCCTCTGCTCCCAGCAGGGGGGGGGGGGGAGGTGATGAGTAGTGGACAAAGCGCATGGGGTGACTGCACAGTGTCTCAATTAGGGGTCGCAGTGCCAGAGTTGAGGACAATGGGGGTGGGGGACAGACTCTGAGCTGCAACCTAAGTGAATCCAAGGCAGAATGAAGCTCCTTATAATGGCATTTTATTGTAGCTAAATACGCCTCAGCCTAAGGCAATCAGTTAAGAGATAAGTCCATGTATTTGCACACAAAACTGCAAGGGGATCCATCTGATTTCTAAATTTGAAAATGAGTGGGTTGGGAAAATGGTGCTTCAGACTCAGTCAAAAGATTCATGGCATGTGCTGGATCCACGCAGGGGATGAGTGAGGGAAAGAAAACACCCGTCTCCCATACCCGGCCCCGCAAAGGAGCTGAGCCCAGGAACCAGAACCGCTTGCTTCGGAGTATTTTGTTGCGGGGAAATAAGATCGCGTGTTACAAGCTGGCACATTTAATTAACATGCGGGAAGGAGGCAACCAATTTATGTCTCTCTCTCTCCTATTCTCTCCCTCCCACTTTCTGGGAAAAAAAAAAAAGCAATGGGAAAAATATCCTCAGGTGAGGACTAACAAAAAAGAAAGGTTATTCTACTATATTAATAAAACTTAATGGCTGGACGGATTATTCCAGATGACATTTTAACAGTCATTCAATCAATGATTGGATAAAGCTATCAATCAATCACAGAGAGGGGGCGCAGTGTCTGCAGAAGGTGCAGGCCATCTCCCACTCCCATGGGCTTCAGTATAAACTGAGGGTGGGAACTGCCTCAACGCTTTTCTTCTCTAGCACACGAACGTCTCTCCTTCACATGATACAGTATGTGGGAATTTGAAGACACGTAATAAAATTAAACAGAATGAAACGAATCTTCCAGATCCCCAGTTCTGTTCTGAAACAAAGGGGAAGACTTCACCAGTACAGACCTTGGGGTGCTGGGTGGGCCTTTGCCAACCGACGGAAACACAGAGCCCCAGAGGAGTCAACATCGAGATTCACGCCACTCTCACCTCTTATTACAGATGCAAGTGTACAAATCAGTGCGAACATCACCCTCCCCCACGGGGCCCTGAGCAGTCTTCTTCCTGCACTGTCCTCCCTGCTTTCACCAGTAAGAGCGGCCTGAGGTGTTCGAACCCGAGCTCCCTGCTCAGAACACTGCAGGGTCCGGGGCCTGGGCCGACACATGCTGGTTGGGACCTGCCGCGTGGCCCTCACCCAAACGGTGCTGCACTGGGCAGCTCCCTGCCGTGGTTCCGAGGAGGAGGCCGAGTTGGGGAACGTGTCACTGGGATCAGAAGAGAGGCCAGAGATGAAAGACCCGGCCTCCACCCTTCCCCCTCCAGAAACACCTGGAGTCAGTTTATCTTCTCAGCTTCAGGGAAACAGGCCTGCTATGGCCCTCGAGGGACCCTAACGTCCTCTGTCCGGCCACCCCCTCCCCTGGTCATCACCTGCTGCCCACCACCCCTTCTACATTCCTGGGCCGCCTGTGACTCCCGGACCTTCTCCAATTCTGGTTTCTCCTTCTGCCTTGTCCTTTATCACCCCCTGTAGGTCTTGGCCTACATGTCACCTTCCTAGTGAGGCCTTCTCAGCCGCCACCCATCCTAAAGCTCTCTTGCTTTCCCCACACCACTTCCAGCTCCCCTCTCTGCTTCCTTTTTCTCCAAAGCATTTACCTTCCAACACAACGCACATAACTGTGTTTCCCTTGTAGAACAGGACAGAAGCCTCATGAGGACAGAGATGCTTTTTAAGGATTGTTTTGTTCATGCAACTATCCACAGCTCGGAGGACCAGGTCTGACTTCTAGTAGGTGCTCAGTGAAAATGTGCGAAGTGAATGGAAGGTGTTCTTATCTCACGGGGTTTCAGAAGGACTTTCAAGGAGCCATATACGCCCTGAACTGAAAGCCAAGTTTTGAGTTTGGGTGTTTGTTTTTTTCTTTCTGGGAAGTGAGTCTACATCCTTGAGTCTCAAAAGTATTTGAGACTCAAAAGAAGGTAAAGAGCTGCTAACACAGAGGCTTGAATTTCACAAGGATTATTACAGGTTTCTTCAAACAACCCATCGACTTCCTTCACAGCTATTTGCTAAACGAGAAACTCTACCCAGGAGGGGTGCGATTACACTGCGTGCTTCAGAACCCGCAGCTCTGAGGCCAGAGCTTTGATGGGGAATTTTTATGAGCAGATTGTGAATAGGTAGCGCTGTCATCCTCATTGTCTGTGAGCCAGAACTCGGTGAGAATGAATACAAATGTGTTTCACGGATTTGGAGCCAACTCTAATATTCATGCAAAGCTGAAAATAAAGCCTATGTAAGGCCACTACACACATGCATATGGCATGTGAAGATCCAGGGGGGCAGCCGGTTAGGCAAATAGTTACATCCCGTCTAGTCCATCACCTTGGCCCCATCGGGAAATTACCAGGATCTGGTCCCAAAATAACAAAACCCTTCCCTCTTTCCCACCCACACACTCACCCACCTACTCACTCACCCCCAATTCCAAAACAAAACAGAAACAAGGAAATCCACAAACAAAATTATCCATCATCTATCAGGTATGCAAACATCACTGTGGAAGAGTCAAAACTGCATCCAACATGGGACATGGCTTACCTTCTCCTATCATAGAGACCCCCACGGACATGCCCATGAACTTGCTTTTGGTCCATACGTGAGTGTTGATACACAGTCTCTTCTCCTTGCACTCACAGTAGAAGCAGGAGATGGGTGGGTGATGGGATACCTGCTCGGCCACAAACCGTAGCTTGTAGCTTTCCGCAGGCTCCTCGGCAATCAGGTGTTCTTGGCTGGGAGGAGAGTGGGGGGCAGTCCTCTTTGGCTTGACCCTGTCCCTGGGAACCTCCCAGGAGCAGTGAAATGTCTCGCCGATGATGGGGTTGTAAGGCTTCTTGGCCAAGGCCCCCTTGCGGCCCTCGTGGAAGGCGGTGAGATAATACTCCACAAAGCAAATGACTCTCTCCTCCGGCGTGGCTCCCGCAGCGACGGCCAGCAGCAGGTCTGGGTGTGCCATGAAGTCCGCATACATCTCCAGCAAAGATCGCTTCTCCAGAATAAAGGTGGGGAGCACCACCTGCATTTGGAAGGAGACACAGTCAGACAGGAGTCCCTGCGGTGACGTGAAGAGTGGAAAGGAAAAACATGAAGGCAGCCACCCATCAAGCAAAGTCACAGGGGCTCAAACCAGGGGCCAGTGTTTTTCGATTTGTACACAAATGACGAATCAGGAGAAATAATACGGAAGAAACTGAAGTAGCTGCAGCGGCGGATCAACGCCGACCTAACTTTGATGACCTGAGTGATTTTCTTCTCGGCTCCTCTGGGCTAAAACAATGGCCCCTGTCCCTCCACTGCCGCCACTCTGACCACACGGCCCCCTTTCACTCAATACTTGGTGTGAAGAAAACAGCTTGGAAGGGCTTTCTCATGTTCTTCCTCAATCAGGCACAGCCAGGAGGATGCTCAGTGTGTTCCCACAAACATGGACATTGGGGTTTGCTGGTGGTCAAAGGGGTCCAGGAGGACCAGGACCCACCATCAGTGAGAGTGCCTATTTGGGGATCTCTGTTAGAAGAGGAGCCCGTAAACCCTAACGAGACGCGGGCAGAGTAGGAGGGTGGTCAGCCCCTGGCCGGGGCTCTAGGAGGCAGGGCCAATACCAGGCAAATGCCTACAGAGCTGCCACGGAGAAGAGGGACCACTAGGGCCAGAAGAAACGAGCATAAGTTACAAACAAGTGGGCTGGCACTCAGAGTCTTCTGGTCAATGGGCCGGCATAGGGGGACCCAGGTTTCCTATTGCCCATTGCTGCAGATAAGTAGAAATCTGAGCGACTCCGACAGGCATGGGACAAAGAAACTCCTCGTTGACACAAAGTGGATCCAAGTGGTCACTCAGGTGCCATATAACCCAAGTGCCTGTAACCCAACCATTAGGTCACTTAAAGCAAATGAAGGGTGTTCCGAAACTGGGCTGGAGAGCAGGTAACTCATGACTCCTGCTGATATGCAAAGGAGAGAGAGCCTGTTTCTCATCGCTCGACAGTGATGTCGAAATGACTAAGTTACTGGGTATCGCAATTCCTCCCTCGCAGCCGCATGACACAGCTCTTTTTGGCCTGGAGCATCTCACATTGCTCCTCCTCGTGTGGAATCGCAGGGTTTTGAAGCTGGAAGCCTGGCCTTGACCTCTAGGCTCCTCCGTGACATCCTCCGAATGAGGGCAGAGGAGACACACGAGTTCAAGTTCAAGCAAGTTGACCAAGGTCATGCATCTGGTGTACGTTCCCACCTTATAGGACCAGGCCTGTCCTTCCTTTACACAGTCCCTAACTCCCATGAGAACATTTGCCAGGGGGCACATCCCTGATCGTGAATACCATGGCTTACAGGTCTGTAGCCCTGTCTCCACTTCAGCTCGCTAAGACCTCTCCTTGCCAAGCATCTAGATACAATGGGAGACAGATGTGCTGAGAGAAAGAGACAGACAGACAGGCATGAGATTAGCAAAGCACCGAGATTTCAGAGGAAACTGGAGGAAGCCCGGCCCACTGCAGAGATGAGGTTGGTATCGTTTTTAATGTTCTTCTATCTTTCATTTAAAAACTGTGTCAAGAGGAAAATGTCCCTGTGTTAAGCAAAAAAGCAACCAGATGTAAAATTGAACATGTAACACCATCTAAGAATCATAAAAAGACCCTGAATGCTAACCTATCTGTCTTGGATGATAGAACTGAATGACTTTTATGCTTTTTCTGAGTATCTTTCTGCTTTGCTTTTATAATGTACTGGAAGAAGAAAAATTCTTTAAAATACAACCATCAAATGAAAGGAGATTTCCTAATTTCCTTTCTGCCACAACCTGACAAAATTGAGAATCTCAAGGATCTGAGCCGGAAAAGTACGACCTGGCTTAGAATGGCCTTCAGATGCCACTGCTACCGCTGCCTGGGCCTTTCTGTGGGACAGGTCGTCACTCAGCCCACCGCCATGCTCTCCGCATCTGCTCTTCCAGGCGGCTGGCTGTTCTCCCCAGGGCCTCCCCCCGACAGGTGGCTGATGGCAGAGTAAAGAAGAAAGACAAGCCCGGATGGTGTGGCTCGGGGTTAGCATTGACCTATGAACCAGGAGGTCATGGTTTGATTCCTGGTCAGGGCACATGCCCGGGTTGCGGGCTTGGATCCCCAGTGTGGAGCATGCAGGAAGCAGCCAATCAGTGATTCTCTCCCATCCTTGATGTTTCTATCTCTCTCTCCTTCTCCCTTACTCTCTGATCAATAAAAATATATATTTTTTAAAAAGCAGAGAGGTGTAATAACCCCACACATTCACCATCTCTCCTTCGCCTGCCCCACCCCCCCTCAGGGCCACTCAAGTTCTCCCCTAAGAATTACTCCAGACAGGCTACGCAGGTTAGGGGCTCTGGCCTTCAGGAGCCTGGGAAAACCCTTCAATGAGGCTAAGTCAATTAGAAAGAAAAGTCACAAATATCCACATCACCAGACTATCCCCAAATCATTCCACATCCTGCTCTCTCCCTTCCGGGGCCCAGGGGACCCTCTGATCAGGACGCAAGCCAGGGAGGGAGCAGGCAGGATTACAGCGAGGTGGTCAGCCCTGACACACAGAACTCCAAGTGAAGGTGGCTCTACCACCTTGACTCATGCATGCCCACCATGAAAACAATCGGGAGGGTCCTCACATAATTAAAAATGGAACTGCCTTATGACCCAGCGATTCCACTTTTGGAAATATATCCAAAGAAACCCAAAACACTAATTTGAAAGAATATATGCATTCCTATGCTCACAGAAGTATTACTTGTAATAGCCAAGATATGGAAGCAACTCAAGTACCCATCAATAAATGAGTGCATAAACGAGCTATATATATATAGTTATTACTTGGCCATAAAACATCTTACCATTCGCGATAGCATGGAATGACTTAGAGGATATTATGCTAAGTGAAATAAGTCAGTCAGAGAAAGGCAATTACTGGTAATATCAATTATATGTGAAATCTAAAGAACAGAATAAATGAACAAAGTTGAAACAGACTCATAGATACAGAGAACAGACTCACGTTTGCCAGAGGGGAGATGGGGGGGGTGGGAGACTGGGTGAAAATGGTGAAAGGATTAAGTAGTACAGATTGATAGTTACAAAATAGTCAGGGGGTAGAAAGTACAGCATAGGGAATACAGTCAACAATATTGTAATAACTATGTATGGTGTCATGGGTACTGGAAATATCAGGGGAACACTTTGTAAAGTGTGTGACTGCTAACCACTATGCTGTACACCTGAAGCTAATACAAAATACTGAATGCAAACTGTAGTTGAAAAATAATTTTTTTTAAAAAGAAAGAAAGGGCATGCATAGCGACCCCTCTGGAAAAGTACAGCTGTAGCTTCCTAACTGGCCTTCACTTTCTGTCATGCCCACCCTTACTTCTCTCCACACCACAGCCAGTCTTCTGTCTAACATCTCTACAAGAGGTAAGGTTGAATCTAGCCCGCACCTCCCTCTTGTCTCACATGACCCGTTACTTCAGCCCTAGCCCTCCCTTACAAGCTCTCCTTCCCCGACACTCACATTCACCCGTTTCCCTGTTCTGCCCTCTCTCCTGCCTTGTCTAAAGGACACAGCTACTCAGCTCAAGAGTAACCTCTATGAAGCTTTCCCAGCAGCTCCTGCTGCCAAGACTAAACCAACAACCTCCTCCTTCGTATCTTCACGGAGCCCCACACTCATCTCCATCACAGCACCCACAATGCTCTTTTTGCTCTTATTAAAGCTATAAAGAGGATTGGGACAATCTGGGGAACTTTTACGATGGGCCATAGATGAAACAGTTTGGCAGCAATGTTAAATTTCCCAAGTGTGACAAATGTATTGTGTAAGAGAAATGTGCTATTGTTCGAGGATACTCATTACAACACACTCTGAAATGGTTCATCAAAAACACACATACACAAAGATATGCACAGAGGGGGAGAGAGGGAAATGGAAAGAGGCAGCGGAGAAGGAGAGAGGAAAGAAGAGAGAAGAAATAAATGCCAAGTAGCAAAATGTTAACTGGCCAATAAAGGTGATACATGGAAGATCACTGTACTATTCTTGCAACTCTACTGTAGATTAGAAAATGTACAATAAAAAAAAATTGGAGGAAAAAGAAAAAAAGGCTCTACTAGAGATGCAATACCTGAGAACTTATCCATTTTCCAAGACAACCCTCCCGAAATTACAGTCTCAGGGAGTATGATCTCACAGCCTACGCCAAGCCCAACCCACCAGCTATGTTTCTGCTCTTGACAATGGCGCTGAGGCTTTATCTGAGATGGGAAAAGCAGAATACCTGGGGAGATGGAGCGGATGGGCTGGGAGTGGGGTGACTGCTTCCCCTTTCATCTCTTCTTGGTATGTTCTGATGGTGTTTGTGCAGAACACCAGACAGGTGCCTTTCAAAACCAGCACCTTGAACGCGCCGGGCAAGATATCACACTTTTCATTAAAGCAGATTTCTCTCTCTCATACGATCTGCCTTCGCAAATAAGTCACTTAATCATCCGTTTCTTGGGCGGGGGACACCGGAGATCGAGCCAGGAATTGGTGAGTACTAATTGGGCTGTCTGCCTCCAACGGAGCGATGAGTGATGGCCCAGCTGTACAGATGATGGCGTCCAAATGGCTAGAATCAGTGCTGCAGATTTATGGAGCCATCAATAAGGGCTGCCTTTTCTCCCATTAACATAATTAAGACAATGAACTACTTTGGGGAACGGGAAAAAGAGAGAAGATCTACACTCGGGACTCAGAGAACGATTAATTACATTTACAGCTGCATCCATCTAGAAGGAACTTCAGGCAGGGCCCTAAGAAAAGAGGGACAGTCCCTTCCCATCAGGGGGAACCACAGGCCTCTGCCAAGGAAGGCCCAGAGCGGGTGCGATTTTCTCCAAAGAAACATCCGTTAACTTCATAACCTTGAGAATTACCTACATAATACAGCACCCTGTCCTCAGCCTGGCAAACCTACCCAGTGCAAATAAGCAAACAAAGAGAAGTCAAGACCACCCTCCGAGATGGACCTGTGTAATCCTTTAAGGAAACCCGGGGAAACACACACAAAAACCCAACCTGACAAAATAAAGGGTAGGTAATCCACTGCCAGGAAGAGTTAGCTGCACCTGCACCAACCAGCGGGTTTGTTTCTCTGCACGTGGACAATGAGATTGGATCACCAACAAGGTTGCCTTCTGGGGACTAGCTAAGCTGTGAAAGTGAGTGACAGCAGCAGCAGGTCACACCTTGGTGTGCACAATGGCCTCGCTCTGGCTCCACTGTTTTCCTCCCTCCTGGCTTCTCCCTGTGGCCACTGAGTCGTATCTATCTCCATAGGCCGTCTTTCACCTTCTCTAGGACACAGCAGGAAACAAGAGTATCCTCTCCTGAAGTTTCCTTATCATCTCGTAGGCCAGTGGTTCCCAAACTTATTTGGCCTACCGCCCCCTTTCCAGAAAAAATATTACTCAGCGTCCCCTGGAAATTAATTTTTTTAAAAATTTTAATAGCAATTAAACAGAAAGATATATGTATTAATGTTTCTACCTTTTTCGTAAAATATAGTAAAGAAAGGTGTAAATTAGAAACATTGAAGTTTGAAATTATGAAACTATTTCTTGAACTCAGAATAGAAAGGTAATACAAAAAAAGTTAAAACAAATGCACCTGTGGCCATCACTGCCCACCTGGATCGCTGCAGCGCCCACCAGGGGGCGGTAGCGCCCACTTTGGGAATCACTGTCCTAGGCCTTTTCTGGCGCTCCCCTGCCCTGTAGAGTCACAGCTCCAGCAAGGAAGCAAATGGCAAGGCGCACGCTCTGAGGATGAGCATGAATCTCCTTTCCAGTTATTCCTGGAATAGCCACACTTGGCTGCAACTCTGAGCTCGTCCCCTCGGCTTTCCCAGTCTCCCCACAAGGAAAAGATGATGAGCCGGGAAGACTGAGAGATGGCACCCAAACCACCGGCCACGAACCCAGTGGGACACGCCGACCTACCTTGGTCAAATCCATTCCGAGTTTGAGCTGCGAGATGAGATGAAGAATTACACTGCGCTGATCCTCCATGACGCCCAGTTCTGCCTCTTCCTTATCTTCAGTGTCACTTTTTTCATCTTCGGACAAAACCAATTCAGGGCCTGAGTTCGGCTACAAAAAGATCATCAATAAAAATCACCAGCGGTTCCAGTGGAAGTGAGCAGCACAGCACTCGAACCCATATGCTTGGCAATGACAGAGGGAGCCCGGTTCTGACCCAGGAAGTCTCTCTCTATAAGCCAGTCCTATTGGCCATAGGGTGGAGGATGACCCTTTTGGGGATGCAGGCCATCCTTAGCTACTGCACATGCCCTCTGATCTCCCCATCACCTCTTATGAGTGAGCCTTCTGGCCGAAGGACTTCCCCTGACAAGAAAGATCCCTGCCCTTTAAGAAACTGTAACATTCAGGAATGAGCCCCCTTAACCTTGGCCATTCCCAAACAATATTCTCTTATTAACTTGTACAACCCAGGACACTTTATATCTAATATAATTTTTTCTATGTTTAAGAAAAGGTCTGATACCCCAGGGATGGGCTGAAATTACCTTATTTTATGAGAAAATTTACCCTCAACTGTTTTACATCAATTAATATTACAACAGCAAGTGTGAAAAGTGAATTGGCATTCATCTAGGGAGGGAGGCAAAAATGAAAATGTCAAGACCAATTCTGAGGCTTTATAAGAATGCTGAGATACATGCTGGCCACCAAATTCTGCTTTCCTCATGCAAGTTTATTAGTTCAATTACTCGGTTCCATTTTTCCAGGGACATAAAAAAACAACACAACAACAGGCAAGTTAATAAACAAAATGTGCAAAAGGGAATGACTGAGCACAAAGTTTTCAATACCCAAGAACCAAGCACTCTGGCGACCATGTCAAGCTGTCTGCAGAATTCTGTTGAAAAAAGTAACCACTGCACACTTATCTATGTTCTTATGGTACTTGTTTTCATGTAAACAAAAACACTGCATACAACATTATACAACCGTTCCTAATGACTGGTCAGACACAGTGAAGTCAGCATACAGCAATGCAGGGCGCAAAGGCATTACATATAAAAGCATACAGACTTGCCCAAATGTCCATGCAAAAACGAACGATTTATAAACCTCACTGGACAGAACTATCTCATTTTATTTAATGGCACTTCCAATCCGCAAAGGTGGTCTCAGTGATCGAGGTGGTTGCAATTGTCTGGCCGAACAGACTCGTGCTGGCCCTTCCTTACCAGCACTCCAGAGGAAACACGGTACTCCCCCTGCCCCAGGGCAGGCATTTTTAAAATTTGAAATTAAAATTTTCCAAGTCTTCTCTGAGTAACCCCACTTCTGGGCTGACAGCGGGGCAGCCTCAGTGATGCCCAGGGGGCTTTTTCCTCCATCGAGTGCCTGGTTCTGGCCTCATCGCAATGTGTGACATCATCGGCAAGTGCCTTTGCCAGAATATACTGAGGGCGCCGGGCTCCATCCTGGTTCAGAGGAGACTAACCAGAGGGATATCTGGGGGCTCCGGGCTGCCCTGATTCCATGCTGGGAAGTCAGAGAACTCAGACACAATCCTTTCAGTGGCAAACGTGCTGCTGATGCTACTTTTTTAAAAAATATATTTTTTATTGATTTCAGAGAGGAAGGGAGAGGGAGAGGGAGAGAGAGAAACATCAATGATGAGAGAGAATTATCTATCGGCTGCCTCCTGCTCGCCCCACACACGGGATGAGCCTGCAACCCGGGCATGTACCCTGACCGGGAATCAAACTGTGATCTCCTGGTTCATAGTCCATGCTCAACCACTGTGCTATGCCAGCCAGGCAGTTGCTACTTCTTTGTGGTGACCTGGTAGGCGGTAATTTGTATCAACAGACCTCCCCTCAACCCAGGGCAGCTGGGGGAGGAGAGGGCGATGCCTGGGCATCTTGCTTTGGGAGGAAAACGGACAATCACAAACAAATCAAGGCACCGTCATGCACCCAAGGGGGTGGGGGTGGCGTGCAAAGTCCTTAAACATCTCGACAACAAAGGTAGCTACATTTTGAGAGCAATTATTCCTGCTTGAAATTAGTTGTTTTCACAAAGTACTGATTGCAAGCTAAACAAATCAATAGCTCAAGTGAGGCAGCCGTAAGGTTTCTGAAGCAAAGAATGATCCTTTCTTCTGAAAATGTGATTTCCCGTTTGCCCACAAGCCGGTACACAGAGAACTCGCCATCCTGCCCACTCCCTGCCCCACTCAGCGCTACGTGCTCACCTCCTCCTGCTGTCTGCCTGACTTGAAAATTAAACCCAGCTCGTCCCCCATTCCAGTAACCAAGGAAGCCTTTAGCAAGACCCGTGATACTAAGAACATGCATGAACGTGCACACGAGCCTCTCCAGCTCTTCCCACCACACGCAACAACACGTTTCCTCTGTGTCTGATGATGACTCTCAGAGACACTGGCTCCAGCAGAGAGAATGAAGGCTGGTACACGGGCCCCAGAAACTGGCTCACTCCAGGTGACTTGGGGCCAGAGCTCCTGGGGCCCTGAAGTCCTGCCAAGGAAGAAAGGCTGAGGGGAGCCTGACACACATCTGCCTCCTTGGCTCAGATCCTCAGCAAGCAGTGCCCTAAGCTGAAACACAGATCCAGCAATAGTTCTGTCTCCCACCGCTTCTGAGAGCTTGCCCTTTCTCTTATAGGATGGTTTGCAAAAAATCCTCCTGCCCAACCTCAAGTAAATAATCAGGGGCTTAAAAAAAAAAGAAGCAGCTGGTTTCATTCACCACATTGTTCGTGAACATCTTAGATCAGTGGTCGCCAACCGGTGGTCCATGGACCACTGGTGGTCCGTGAGGTCTGAAAGGTTGGCGACCGCTGTCTTAGATGATACCCACAATCCCACCCTCACTGGAACTCAGTCCTTTGCAGGAAGGTGAGACCACCCTCTGTTTTGGGTCCAAATTGAAGGCATTGCATAGGCGTAGATAGAACTGTGGGGCTCATTTAGAAAGGTGTCTACTGGCAACGTAAATATGTCAACACCCACAAAGCACCTGAGAGCAAGCACTGCAAGAAATGGAAGGCTTGGCCCAGCCCATGTGGCTCAGTGGTTGAGTGTCAACTTATGAACCAGGAGGTCACAGTTTGATTTCCAGTCAAGGCACATGCCTGGGTTGCAGGCTCGGTCCCCAGTAGGGGGCGTGCAGGAGGCAGCTGATCAGTGATTCTCATCATTGATGTTTCTATCCCTCTCTCCCTCTCCCCTCCTCTCTCTGAAATTAATAATAATAATAATAATAATAATAATAATAATAATAAAAGAAATGGACAGTTTAGAGCCAAGCTTGGAAGGAGTTTTAAAGACAGAAAGCCTTCTTCCCTTTTGGGGTCAAGGTTTGTTGATTCTGCTACTCTGATGTGAAATCCAAAACAGCGCTAATGGGCACTGGCTCTCGGTCTGTTCTCCATATCAGGCCCACGCTCTCACCCTCCCTCTCCCAGAGCTCTGCTTCTGTCCGGGCCCCCGCATGCCCACACCCTGTGGTCCCTATGGATTTCTGCTTGTAAAGTGATGACAGCTGCCTCGAGGTGGTCAAAGGTGGCAGAACAGTGTTTCTCTATCTCAGAAGAAACTGAAAATGAGAAATGGTTTTCTAATGCTGAGAAACTTCATAAGACTTAAGAAGAATCTTTAAATACCCCATCCCCCAGAGATCTTTGCAAATGAGCCAGCTCAGCCATAAAAATGTAGCCAAACTTGAAGATAAAATGAAATTAAAATGTGTTTGAAAGAGAAGCAGGCTTTGGAATAATGAGGTTCTTAATAAAAACAAAAATTATGACTCAGTATTTCTACCACGTGAACAACTCGGGGCTACAAAAATCAAGTGACTCGTCATGCCTATTAGCAAACATGGGTAAGGACAAGAAATGTGAGGAAGAGCAAAAGGCCACATGGCAGGCTGGGGTTTGGGGACCACTCCTCGGTAGCTTAGAGTGACCTGTGCCCCAGAACAAGGGCTCTTAATCTGGGCCCTACGGACACTCCTTAAGATATCTATCACAGCCCTTGATGTTTTATATAAAAATTGTATGTCTGGGCATTTTTCTGGAGAGAGGGGATCCCTGCTGATCTTGGATTCTTAGAAGCGTGTCTGGCCCTGGGCTGACCTCTGGGCCTCTCAAGAACCAAAGGGTCTGAGATCATGTAAGAGGGAGAGACTCTTATGGTAGGAAGCGGTCCAATCAGACAGTCTCAGCATCTGCGGATGCGCCACCCCTGCCCTTAACCACACCTCCACTTCTCATCCAGTAGGGGGCAGCACACCCATGTGACTATGGTGAGGCCCAAACCAGAAGCAAAAGTGTGACTTGTGTTCCACAACAGTCTTCTCCAGGGGGACACCAGTGTAGGGGACACACTGCTCTCATCTCTTTAACAAAAACCTGATTTTTTCAATACAAATGTAAATTCCAAGCAAGACTGGCATTCCAATCTATTTTATTCAACACACACATGTAATTTAACTACAGTCTGGGTCAGTTCCAAGAAAAACCAGGAAACAGACATTTATCTTCAGAGTCCATTCATTTCCTTACCGCAGGCCTCACTCCACCCCCTCAACCCCCCAACCCCCTGCTCCTCAAATCTACTCCCCTTTCCTGAGCCTCACTCCTATTTTCCTTTTCTCAGACAGCGCACATCCAACCCTTTCTTCTTTCTCCACAATGACCTTCTCTTCTTTCTTAACTAAAACCTGGTGCTCAGAGAAGTGGAGCCAATATAAGCAGTTTGACCTACTAACGTCCTCTTGATTTATAAATGCCTATTAACCTAGGGTCTTAACTCCAAGGGCTGAATCCTCAGATTTGAACCATTTTGGGAGAGGCCTGTGTGGTGGCATAACCAACCTTTGAAGAAGCCCTTTTCCTGTTGAACAGGGAGCAAGGCCGTGCCAGAGTCATTACATCACAGACATACAGGTGCCAGGGGTCTACACGGATTAAGTGGGCTCCTACAGTGTGGTCTTCTGCCCAAGTCAATAAGCGTCATCAGAAAAACAAAACTCACGGAATTCAACTGATCTGTCACTATCCTGAAAGTCCACCTGAGCCAGGACAGAAAACAC